GAATAATAAATAACTGATAACCCCACATATGCAAATATAGACAGGACTTTCTTCACCTAGGCATCCTAGAAATCTACTCTAACAGAATTAATATTAAAATAAGATAAGCTACTAATGTTTAGTAAGATGACTGACAAACTATAAATATTTACCAAGTGATAACTAATAATATTCTTATTTTTAAAGCTAAATCTATTAGGAACATGCAACACAGTGTTTATTTCAGTCTTTCTGCGATATTTGGCTGCCTACTATGATTTAAACACTTCCACAGAACTCACATTCCAAAAGCAGTGATGGGGTGGCTATTGCAATAAGAGTGATTCGACGTAACTGAAAGTGTATCAACAAGCCCTGAGTAGATTAAAACTGAGTCACTGAATTCAACATACCAATTCCGGCCCAACTTAATTAACCAATGAGAAACAATCATTACATTAAGAAAGCGTTAATTATGTTATTCATTAATTTATCTCTTTCATTTTGTAATTTAGTTTTACTAACAGTTAGCATTCACAACTGGCTGACCACTTTCTATGAGCCAATTACTGTTTTGAATGTTTACACAATATGTGGTTTTTCATCTTCAGAGCAATTCTGCAAGTCGGGCAGGGTAGAAGCCCCATTTCATAGTTGAGATAACAAAACATCAGGAGGTAAGTAACTTGCCTAAATTAGTACTAGTTTTAGAATGAAATAGGAGGTCCATATTGTTCTTTCAGTTGTACCCTATTGACAAAGGAAAAATAGAAATAACTAAATCCCCTATAATTTGAATTTCAGCTATGTTCAATATTTACAAATTTAGTACCGTGAACTCAGATTTTGTAATAGCATATGGTAAATGAAACACAGAATCCCTGTTAGCAGCTCCCATAAACAGATGACACAATCAAATGAAACATAATTTTAATAAAATGCTATGGGCCTCTGAATCAAAATCACAAGGCATTGCTACAAATACAAAAATTGATGTGGTTACACACATGTAAAGCACATACACATACACACACAGACACACACACACACACACACACACACACACACACACACACTCTTTCTCTGTATCTTGTGTTAACACCCTATATCGTTTTAGGAGAAGGAAATGATACAAGAAAAGAAGGATGAAGACATAGTTCTTCCTTTGGTTTCAAAGTTTTGGTTGGAAATTCAACATTCAGCTTAATCTACTTAATGAGAAATTATTATGTGCAATGCACTGCTCAGTTGTTTCAGGAATTGTAAACATCAAATAGAGACACAGACTGGATCTTTACTATCATTTGGAGAAAATGAAACAAATATAGAAATACTCAAGGAAGAAAAACCTGTGTGTCCTAAACAAACCATATTTCTAATGATGAGGCATTTTGTCAAGGAGAGAAAATATCATTTTTCTTTTAAAGTAAGAAAATCAGCTTCATGGAATAAGCCATGTTTAAAATCTTCTGAAATTGTTATTCTCATTATTGACTTCTTACCGACAAAAAAAAATTGGAAAGAATTATAAACAATAAGGAAAATAATTGTGTTATCTTTAGGGAAATATTAATTCTCCCAATATTTCCCTAAAGATAACACAATTATTATACTAATTGATTAAATGCCTTTAATTTTTTTCTATATTTGTTAAAGTAATCAAATTCTATTTACAATTTTATATGCTTTCTACTTACTTTATATTTTGTCATAAATGTCTTTGTATATTGTATTTCTAATCATCAATTTTTATTTTTTATATTTCTTTATTTATTTATGTTTTTTTGGAGACAGAATCTCACTACATCACCCAGGCTGTAGTGCAGTGGAATGATCTCTGCTCACTGCAACCTCCATCTCCCAGGCACAAGTGATTCTCCTGCCTCAGCCTCCACAGTAGCCTGGACTACAGGTGCCTGCCGCTGCACCTGGCTAGAGCTTTCTAGACTTTCTCCCTATACCCCTTAAGCTGGGATGAGCAGTGCCAGGTAATATAGGAGGGAATCCTATGTCCCATGGCTGCTGAGAGGCCCTTGGAAGGCTTCATCTGGAGCACGAGGAGCAGGAGGAAAAAACCTTCTGAAGTGGGGAGGCCAGGAGTGTCCTTAGATTAAATTCTCACACTACGATAAAGTGAATTGCTGGGGGCTGTGGCTCAGGCTGCAATCCCAGCACTTTTGTAGACCAAGGCAGGCAGATCGCTTGAGGTCAGGAATTCCAGATAAATCTAGCCAACACGGTTAAACCCCCTCCTACTAACAATGCAAAAAAAAATTAGCCAGGCCTGGCAGCGGGCACCTGTAATCCCAGCAACTTGGGAGGCTGAGGCCGGAGAATTGCCTGAACTTCAGAGGCGGAGGTTTCAGTGAGCTGCGATAGCTTCGCTGCACTCCAGCCTGGGAGACACAGTGAAACTCAATTAAAAAAAAAAAAAAAAAAAAACAACCTTTTGTTTGGAAGAAACCTAATCAACTATGTTAACACCCACCTACGCCCACTGAAATCCAATTAGAGGAAAGGGGTGTGGTCTTCAGAGATATATAAAAGGACACTTCAGGAGCCAAGCTCATTCTTCTCCAGCACCCACAGCGTGGCTTTGCGACTGGCCTTGGAGACTTCCAAAAGCTACCGGCACTGCACTGTGAGACCCTGATCCCTGAGCTGACTTCATCTTTTTAGACAGCAAGCTTTGGTGAGAACGTAGATCTATTTCTGAGGTAAGTATACACTTTCCAGAGTAGGAGCTGCTATTAGGTCACAAACCAAAACGAACAAAATTTAGGGACTTTATATGCAAACTTAGATTTTTTTTAAGATGAAATGATGTCATTTTCTGAGTTTTAAAAACAGTTCCATTTAATTTTTTAAATTATTTTAAACAAAATCCATAGGTTTACAAGCTCCATTTAACCTATTTACAAATTAAACATTTTTGTCTTCTGTCTTGCTGCATGATCCTCAAATTAATGTTATGATTAATTTTTTACTTAATGTATTTCTTAGTTGTTTTATAGATTACAAGCATTTTGCAGTAGTTTCCAAATATCTGGTAATTCTTTAATCTCTGTAGACTCTGTAAATGGGTTAGGAGTATTGTAATCTATGTGTATAAATGTGTTACATTCTACTCTACTAGTGATAGTGTCCCTATGTTGCAATGTAGGGCTATACATAGGTAGTGTGCATTGAATGATTTGGGCAAACACTTTTTTCTAAAACACGGTAAAAGTCTCTTCAAAAACCTGAGTTCCTCTGTCGAAGAAAGCCAGAAATGGCTGTTCATGCAGAAAAGTCTCACTGACAATCATGCAGAAATATCAGAAATAGAGGGTTTCTGTATTTATGCTGTGTAGAAACCACAATTTTAGATTTTTCCTTTCTTTGTTTCTTTGTTTTAGACGGGGACACACAGCCTAGAGTGCAGTGGTGGAAATAAGCCTCACTACTGCCTCTACTTCCTACCGCAAGCAATTCTTCAGCCTCATCCCCCAAAGTAGCTGGGACTATAGGCATGGGCCATGTTGGGTTTTACATATATAATCTATAGTGTGTGTGTGTGTGTGTGTGTGTGTGTGTGTGTGTGTGTGTGTGTATTTTTTTTTTTTTTAAAGATGAGGTTTCACCATGTTGGTCAGGCTGGTCTTGAACTCCCAACCTCAGGTGATCCACCCACCTTGGCCTCCAAAGTGCTTTGATTACAGGTGTAAGCCACCAGGCCCAGCCGTGTGTGTGTGTTTTTAGAGACAGGCTGATCTAGACACTTTGCCATCATGTCGCCCAGTCTAGAACTCCTGAGCCCAAAAAATCTGCCTGACTTGGCCTCCAAAAATGCTGGGATTACAGGTTTGAGCTACCTTACCTGGCCTTTTTTTTTTTTTTCCCCTCCATTTAAAACACCGCCTGACTGTCTAGTGCCTATGATTATTGCATGATACTTAGTATTTTTCTGACTGTGTGAAAGAGTAATGACAATGCTTCCAAAGAGCTTAGAAAATATTTCTTTCCTCTGCGTACACTTCTACATTTTATCAATATATCCCCAAACTAACAGACAGTTCAGGTATAGCAAACATGCCAGAAAGTTTTTGTTGATTGAATGAACACAACAGCCTAAGAAATGATTGTTTGTTCTATCTTGGAGAAGTACCTTTACCTTGGTCTGTTTGTTTTGCCTTGGAGAGTAAAGGCTAGCTTTGTCTGATTTTGGTCAAAGGATGAGCTCTGCTCTAACATTTTCAAGCAGAGGCCCTCTGGACAACTCTGATGGATCCTTGTTACAGTTAAATCAAACAATGAGAGTAGAAGAGCTTAGTTAGCTTCCCTTCTCCAAACCAGTCACTGGCAATTCAGAGTGTGACTGAGTTTCAGACCATTCAAGACTCACCCCATGAGTTGATAGCTTGATGAAATCCTAGAAGCCCAAGCAACTTGGTGGACACTAACACCTCAAAAAATCTGACATTCTTCTATGCAAAAAAGTGGGTTTGGAAAGCTGGTTGTGTGTTGATTGGAGAACAATCACATTTTTCTACAGAGGTTGATGGCTCTTAGTGCCTTAGTTTTCTATTTTTCCTATTTCTGTCATTGCAAATGAAAGCCTATTCTTCTCTAGAAAAAAAAAAGATGTTGCTCAATCACAACCTGATTCAAACTTTGCTTGGATCTTTGTCTCTCCAGGGTAGAAGATTAAATTCTTGTGGTTTTCTTCCCTTAGGAAAATGGACTCAGACTTCCTACAGGCCTTCCAGAAGGAACTCACCTGTGTAATCTGCCTGAACTACCTGGTAGACCCTGTCACCATAGGCTGTGGGCACAGCTTCTGTAGACCCTGTCTCTGCCTTTCCTGGGAAGGAGCCCAAAGTCCTGCCAACTGCCCTGCATGCAGGGAACCATCACACCAAAAGGATTTCAAACCTAACATTTTTCTGAAGAATTTAGTGACCATTGCCAGGAAAGCCAGTCTCTGGCAATTCCTGAGCTCTGAGAAACAAGTATGTGCGACCCATAGAGAAATAAAGAAGATGTTCTGTGGCACGGACAAGAGTCTGCTCTGCGCACTGTGCTCTGACTCTCAGGAGCATGGGGCTCACAAACACTGTCCCATTGAAGTGGCAGCTGAAGAACACCGGGTAAGAGACAGTGCTGGGATCACCTGACAGCTGGAGGGTGGCAGAGTTAGAGATGAGAAGGGAGATGAGAATCACCATGGTGATCACTCCATTCTTTACTGAGTGCCAGGTGCTTTTGGAGGTACCAATGATGAAATTTTGAATTCAATATGCAACTATACCTGCCTTCATGGAGGCTGCACCCAAAAAGAGGGTGATTAAGTAAATGTCACTATTACTTTGACTCTACAATAGAATGCCAAAGGCATTGAAAAGCTACCAAGACTACAAGAACAAAGAAAATACATTTAGGAAATGTATTTAATATTACTGGACAAATGACAAAAGCAGGAGCCTAGCATAGTGGATTCTGAAGAAGGGTGTTTCACTGATCATTAGCTAGGTTACAAGAAAACTCCCCTCACCAGTTCCCTAAACGGTTATACATTCTGAAACCTCAGATTTGAAAAATACTGAGGATGAGCAGTGAAAATATTTGTTTTATTTTCCTCTCTCCAGTCTGTTCATACATTGTATCCCTTGCCTGCATACCTCACTCAGGGTGTGGAATCTATGGTATTTGATTTTCTCTTGCTCACCCTTATAAATCTTTTGCAGGAGAAGCTCTTAAAGCAAATGAGAATTTTATGGGAAAAAATTCAAGAAACTCAGAGAAATCTAAGTGAGGAGGAAAAAACAAGCATCCTCTGGAGTGTAAGTATGAGATCATGTGTCTTCAGGACAGGTTTGAGACAGGCATGCTGAGAACATTTATATTAGCAACTTGCATTGAAATTCTCATATGCCAGATTTTGTCATGTGTTTATTTATAGCCTGGAAAACAACCTGACTGTTCAATATAACAATTGTTCAGGTGTTCTGGAAATGTTTTACAGATAAGTAGAAATATACATATATAAATTCTGAGAGGCAAGTATGCGCTTAAAATTAATAGGTATTTCAGGCAGAGGTTTCTGTATGAGATGAATTATGTAATATTGATTAAATAATATATGATTGAGAAATAAAGGCATTTAGCAGTGAATATGATGTTGCTCCTAGGGAAAAAAGTGGGTGGGAACAGGAATTTAAGAAATACGCCTGTGCTAGTGAAATCTGATAGCAAAGGACCCAGCCCATGATGCCTGTTTGAGTAGGAGAAAATGTAACCTGATGAAAAGCTGAGAGAAGGGACAAAAATGCCTGGGGGAGTGAGAGAATATTATGTCAATATTGGGAGGAGAAACACAAGGGAATGGGGATTCATGTTCTTAGAATGGTGGGGCAAGACTGTGGCTTTAGACAGAAGAAGAGAGGTAGTCAGTTTCAGAGATGGGGGCTAAAATGTTTACTAAAATCTTTTTTGTGTGATGGCTTCTGACCCTGATTATAATACACTGACAACATTTCTACTAAGAGTGACTGTTTAGGCTGTGAAGTACAAAGATTTGAGACCACAGAATAATTGAGTAACAAATATATATATTATTGATGATAATTTAATAATCAATGATAAATTTTAGTTGTTTTCTAGCAGTATCTCAGATTTGAGAGGACATATACTTAAACATTTAAATCTAAAGGGCTTTTATGCCTGTGTTCAAGCATTGATGAATTATAAACATTTTGAAGGAAGGTCTTTTTTATTGTACTTTAGATTCTGGGGTACATGTGCAGATCATGCAAGATTGTTGCATAGGTACATTCGTGGCAAGGTGGTTTGTTGCCACCATCTCCCCATCACCTATAACTGGCACTTCTCCCCACGTTATCCCTCCTACTTTCCCTCCCGCTATCCCTCCCCTAGCCCCCACAAAGGACCTCAGTGTGTGATGCTCCCCTCTCTGTGTCCACATTCTCATTGTTCAACATCTACCTATGAGTGAGAACACATGGTGTTTGATTTTCTGTTCTTGTGTCAGTTTTTTGAGAATCATCTTTTCCAGGCTTATCCATGTCCCAACAAAGAACACAAACTCATCATTTTTTATAGCTGCATAGTATTCGATGGTGTATATGTGCTACATTTTCTTTGTCCAGTCTATCATCAATGGGCATTTGGGTTGGTTTCAGGTCTTTGCTACTGTACACAGGGCTGCAATGAACACGTGTGTTCATGTGTCTTTATAATAGAATGATTTCTAGTCCTTTGTGTATACACCCAGTAATGGGATTGCTGGGTCAAATGGAATTTCTATTTCTAGATCCTTGAGGAATTGCCATACTGTCTTCCACAATGGTTGAACTAATTTACACTCCCACCAACAGTGTAAAAGCGTTTCTATTTTTCCACATCCTCTCCAGCATCTGTTGTTTCCTGATTTTTTAATGATCGCCATTCTAACTGGTGTGAGGTGGTATCTCAATGTGGTTTTGGTTTGCATTTCTCTAATGCCCAGTGATGATGAGCATTTTTTATATGTTTGTTGGCCTCACATATATCTTCTTTTGAAAAGCGTCTGTTCATATCCTTTGCCCACTTTTGGATGGGTTTGCTTGTTTTTTTTCCTGTAAATCTGTTTTAGTTCTTTGTAGATTCTGGGTATTAGCCCTTTGTCAGATGGGCAGAGTGCAGATATTGCTCTGGTTCTGTGTCCCACTTGGTGGGAGCTGCACTCCAGAGAAGCTTCCTTTCGACCGTCTTGGTCTCCCCTAAGGAAGATCTTTTTAACTCATCATAGTGTTTGTAAAGAATAAAAATTAAATGAAGGAAAGGTCAGGATGAATTTGTGGGTTCTGTGAGGTGGAAGTAGACCTGGGTATGTAACCTACAAAATCCATGTCCCTCCAGGCCTATGCGCTTCTTCGTGTGCAGATGATCAGGGTTGAGTATAGGAAGCTGCATCCAGTTCTCCATAAGGAAGAAAAACAACATTTAGAGAGACTGTACAAGGAACACCAAGAGATATTTCCACAACTCCAGAGAAGCTGCATCAACATGTATCAAAAGAAGAAGCACTTGAAAGAAATGTATCAGGAACTAATGGAAATGTGTCATAAACCAGATGTGGAGCTGCTCCAGGTAAGAACTGAGGATGTCCCTTGAGACACTTTGTATTAGATGGCATTTGCCTTTCATTGGGTACCAAAGACATGCCTCTTCATCTCCTGTATTGATGGTGGGAGACATTCCCCACCTGGTTATAGAGATAAACTGCAACTCCTAACCTAATTATGGAAGCAGAGCTTTATGGAGCTGTGCAAACAGATTTCCACAGAACGTTTTCTACCTCAAGCTTTCTTCTCCAGTTCATTTCATTAAAACTCTGGAAGAAAAAAAATCCATGTGAAAATAATATTTTTGTCTCCATTGGATAATATGTAGAAATTATGAAGATACTAACGTTTCCTTCTTGCTTTTTCTTGCTTTTTCTTGGGCAGTCCAAGGTTTGAAATGCCCTTGACTTGAGTCCTCAGGGACTAGCCTTGAAAAAGACCACATTGTAGACAGCTGCAGCAATGCACAGTCACTACTTAACCTCCCTCTCTCACTCAGATCCAGGGGTCCTGAATTTATCAAAAATAGATTCTGTCAGTTGGTCTTACTGGTACAAATGTGAGAGATGAGAATACATTTTAAAAGAGCTGCAGTGATAGTATGTAGTACTTCGAAAGTTTTCCAAACCCAAAGACTAGACAGGCAGAATAACAACTTGTTTGTTGGTTTGTTTCCTTGTTTTGAGACAGAGGGTTGTTTTGTCACCCAGTCTGAAGTGCAGTGGCCCAATCTCAACTCACTGCAACCTCTACCTCCTGTGTTCAAGTGATTCTCCTGCCGCACCCTCCCCAGTAGCCGGGACTACAGGCATGCACCATGACACCCAGCTAATTTTTTTGTATTTTTAATAGAGATGGGGTTTTGCCATGTTGGCCAGGCTAGTCTGGAACTCCTGACCTCAGGTGATCCATTCGCCTTGGCCTCCCAAAGTGCTGGAAATACAGATATGAGCCATTACACCCAGCCAGAATAACAACTTTCTAAATAAGTATATTTTTCTCTCTCTCTTTACAGGATTTGGGAGACATCATGGCAAGGTATGTGTTTGGCCATCATTGCAAGCAGCAGCACAAGGCATGCTATGAAAAACATCAAGCTGTTTTCAACAAAGTGAAAACATAGTTTGTTAACAACATAATGTGCCAGTGTGATTGTGTGTATGTGTGTGTACTCTGGTGTTTCTGTGTTATGTTGAATATGTTTTCTTATGCCCTGTACCAGATTTTAATCTTTTCTTACTTTCCCAAGTGACTCAGGGGGTAATGTTTTGAAGAGTTCCATGCAGAAGTTACTAGGATATAGTTGCCTAATTTTAAGATTCAGAATCATAATTAGAGACAAATAAACTATTTGGCAGATAGGGAGAGAGGCAATGATTTTTCAGTGGCAGTAGGTTAGAAATGGAGTGAATCCTTAGAAAGATTCCCTAAGAGAGCCACAAACCCATCCTAGGATTGTGGAGTTACATTACAATATCAGAAGTCGGTTTGAGTGAAGCATTTCCTGTTGGAATCTATTTCTTAAACACAGACACCAGAAAGGTTAACCAACTGCACCTGCTTCCTTGCAGGAGCGAGTCCGTGCTGCTGCGCATGCCCCAGCCTGTGAATCCAGCGTTCACTGCAGGGCCCATCACTGGACTGGTGCACAGGCTCAACCGCTTCCGAGGTGAGTGTCACCCTCTTGCTGGGACCAACATGTAATGTCTTCAAGCATGGTTTCTATGGGCAGTTTTCCTGGTGTAATGATCTTTCATCTGGAAGAAAATAGTCTGTGAATAAGTCTTTATAGTTTCACTATCATCAAACAGACTAAACTAAAAGCTGGTAAAATGTAATAAAAATCAGCCATATAACAAATTACTTAGCAAAACATAAAACATGCAGAATGGCTCCTTAGGACTTAGAAACATTCTCTGACACAATTTCATGTATACAAGTATTACATGAGGTACACAGAACTGTGTTAATTCAGGACATTTTAACTCCAAATTAAGTGTTCTTAATGATTGTGATTTGGTGACTGTTTATTTTTAAGTGCATTTCAGGTGAAGTTTCATAGCATTTGTAATTTTAATCATGTGCATTTTAATCAATCAAAACATACATGAGTAACTTAAATAACAATGCAAATCTGAGGATGTGCAAACAATAGGAAAGTGATTTGGTGGTTGATGAGTCCTTAGATAGAACTCCAGGATAGATCATGATCAATCAGGCAGATAAAGGAAGTCTGTGCATGAAAGTCCAGCATGAAAGATCGATAGTTCTTGCAAGGAATCTGCACTTTTCAGAAGATGGATTCAGATTTTCTCTTTAAGTATGAATTTGCTTACTTAAGTGGCAGATCATATTTCTGGCAAAGTGATAACTTATTTAGGTGTAAGAATGGCTCCCCACCTCATCTCCTGTCCCCAGCCTCCTGCTCAGATTTGGCTGCAGTCCAAGAGCTTCCAGTTTTTCAGCTATTATAAAAAGTAGCTGACTAGACATAGGCATGGCAATCCTCCCCTTCGTATTTTTGAGTTTATAGAAGTTGTGGTCATTGTAGTTTAGCCATGTACTTTTGTGCAGATTTCCTAACATTTCCAACATTTTTCCAGACAAAAGTTGCCTTTTAATCTTGACCTGTGTTTTCTAGTAAGAGTCTCTTTCTTTTCTGAATCTAAGAATGTATAAACTGCTTTTCACTGGAACATTCTCTTCTTTCTACAGTGGAAATTTCCTTCAATTATGAAGTAAGCAATCACAATATCAGCCTGTTTGAGGATATGAGAAGTTGGATGTTCAGACCTGAACAGAAAGGTGGATCTTTGGATTCTGACAGACCTGACTATTTTGCTGCATGGGGAGCCCAGGGCTTCTCCTCTGGGAAACACTACTGGGAGCTGGATGTGGACGACTCTTGGGACTGGGCTGTGGGCGTCTGTAAGGACTCCCAGATAAGGAAGAATGGCACCATGATTACATCTGAGGACATATTTCTTCTTTTATGTGTGAAGATGGGTCATCATTTCCGTCTCTTGACCAGCTCTCCAATGCTTCCTCACTATGTAGAGAAACCTCTGGGCCGGCTTGGTGTGTTTCTGGATTTTGACATTGGAAGTGTGAGCTTTTTGAATGTCGCCAAGAATTCCCTCATATGGCGTTACCCGGTTGGCTCCTTAAATTTCCCTGTCAGGCCTTTCTTTTACACTGGCCACAGATGATCAGGATGAAGAAGTCTGACTGTTTGGGAACTGCATGTACAAGGGAGCCCTTCACTGTTGAAGCAAAGGAATCATAGTTTTCAGGCTTTCTTTCTGTTTTAGTGTCACCTCACTTTATTACGGTTAAATAAAAAAATATGTAAAATGTAAAATATTTTTGTACACTTTCTTACAATTAAAATAATCTCTTATGGCCCATTACCTAAAATGTACATTATGATTTTCAACTGCTTTGTGAATTTATTGATGGAATTCTGGAAATATGTGGGCGCATGATTCCAGCTGAATGATCTCATGCAGGAACACAATTTGCACATCATGGACAGACAGGATTTTGTACAATGCATTTGCAAGTGTGAGAGCTCCCTCCTATTGATACAGTAAATTCTACACCGTATCACTTTAGGGGGAACATTTACACCTAAATTTTCACTGAATCTTTGGGCAAAAGTAGGGATTTAACAGCCATGCATCCTATGGTGACAAAAACACATTCTGAGAAATGCATTATTAAGTGATTTTATCACTGTGTGAACATCAGGGTGAACTTACAAAAACCTAGATAAAATAGCCATCTGCAGACATGGGCCAAATGGTGCAGCCTATTGCTTCTCTGAGAACTTGCTAGCAATGCTCAAACTAGAACCCAAAAGGTTTAACCCACATTGATTTCTGTAGCTGTTTAATAAAGCAAACAGCATCACCCTGGGAAAAATGGACAGAGGAGCAGACTGTCTGCTTTAAAATGTGTTTATACTTACAATTCACACAGATTGTGAATTCTCACTGATAACCTAGACCTGAGACATAATCAT